GTCGGCTGTGTTTAAGGGGAAATTCAATAAACCCATGGGAGAATGAGGAATAGAAAGACATATTGATAAAATCATAGAATCCTTACAGTGTGGAAGCAGGTCAGTTAGCCCATCAAGTCCACACTAACCCTCCAAAGAGCCTCCCGCCCAGACCCACCAGCCTACCCTATCCCTGTAATCCTGCGTTCGGGGTAGATGAATTAGAAAAGAAGGAAGCTTCTATGCAGCGTGGATCTGTTGGGCTGAATGACTGTTTCTGCATTGTCGATGTGGAATGACAGGAAGGAAGAAAATGAAGATTGGTTAAGAAAAAACAGGCTTTTTCTTCGTTCCAGGCTGTCACTGGTTAAAAGTCAGCCTCCTTACCTCTGGGTTGATCTGTCACAGATTTCAGTCGTGCTTACTTTCCTCCACGCCTCTTCATTTCACACTCTGACACGCTGCACTCGTTCGCGCCTTGAGTGACAGCAACTTCAAGAGGTGGCAAGTTAAGGCTGGCAGGCCAGATCATTGCCATGGTAACCTCTCCAGCAACCAGCTCTTCTTCACAGACAGTAGGTAACCACTTTGGTTAGGCCACAGTGCAGTAACTGTGTGCAGTTCTGGTCACTGCACTATAGGGAGGATGTGACTGCACTGGAGGGGGTGCAGAGGAGATTCACCAGGATGTTGTCTGGGATGGAGCAGTTTAGCTATGAAGAGAGGCTGGATAGGCTCAGGTTATTTTCTTCAGAGCAGAGGTAGCTGAGGAGGGGCCTGACTGAGGTCCATAACATTATGAGGGGCACAGACATGGTGGATAGGAAGCAGCTGTTTCCTCTTAGTTGAAGGATCAATAATAAGGGAGTTAGGGCCCTCTGGTGGCACAGTGGTAGTGTCCCTACCCCTGGACAGAGAGGCCTAGGTTCAAGTCCCACCTGCTCCAGAGGTGTATAATAATATCTCTGAACAGATTGATTAGGAAAAAGTAGGTTAAAGTAAAAACAATGGGTTCATAATTCTAAGGTGAAAAGCAGAAGGTTTAGAGGGGATTTGAGGAAAACCTCTCTCACCTAGAGGGTGGTGAGAATCTGGAATGCACTGCCTGGAGCAGCAATAGAAGCAGGAAACCTCAAAACCTTTCAACAAGTATTTGGATGAGCACTTCAAATGTCATAACATTGAAGGTCATGATCCAAATGCTGGAAAGTGTGAGATGGGCAGATAGGTCAGCGCAGACCAGATGGGCTGAAGGGCCGCTTCGGTGCTGTAATACTCTGTGACATGACTGGAACAGGCAATGCCTGTGACACACTGATAGAATATGTGTCATTCTCCCTTCCCCATCTGGTGAAAATACGTTGGCCCAAAGGGTCTAGGCCCGAAACGTCAGCCTTCCTGCTCCTCTGATGCTGCTTGGCCTGCTGTGTTCATCCAGCTCTACACCTTGTTATCTCCGTTAAAGGTGAAGACCTGGTTAAGTGAGGACCCATGCCAAGATAACAAGCTTAAGTTGTAAAGCACCTTCCATGGCCTCAGTTGGTTAACACACACTCTTCACCTACCCTCAAACATGCCAGCTGAGCTGATACTTTAGAGCAGAAAAGTGCTGCGTTGTCAGAGGCACCACCTTGCAAGTGAAACATTAAACTGACAGCCTATCAGTTTGGTCAGATGGCACTATAAAAAGAGCAAGGAGTGCTCCTAACATCCTGACCAACATTTCATTCCCTAACTATCTCCACTGTCAACAGATTAATTTGTCACTTACCTCATTGTCCATGGGACCTTGCTGTGTATAAACTAGATGACGCACTGCAACAGTCACTGAACTTCAGTAAGAATGAGATTTGAAACAGGCTTTGGTGGTTTGAGAACATAATGTCCTATGTAAATGAATGTTTCATTTTTTTCAGTTTCAGAACGCGAGATCAAATCAGCTGAGTTCCCAGTGACAAAGTGAATGACTGTACACAATGGAAACTGAACTCAACACAGAGCACGTTACCCTAACATTGGGCCAGGTTTGCCAGCAGCTATAAGACCGTAAGACATAGGAGCAGAAATTAGGCCATTCGACCCATCGAGTCTGTTCTGCCATTCAATCATGGCTGATAAGTTCCTCATCCCCATTCTCCTGCTTTCTCCCTGTAAACCTTGATCCCCTTGATAACCAAGAACCTATCTATCTCAGTTTTAAATGTACCCAATGACCTGGCCTCCACAGCCTTCGGTGTCATCATGCTGAATGAGGAGGATAAGACAACGAATTTATGTAGCACCATTTACAATCAATGAACATTTCAAAGAGCCTTTACAGCCAATAAGCATGTTTTGAAGTGTAGTTACTATGATGTAGAACATGTGGCAGCCAATTAGTGTACAGCAAGTAGCCAGCTACAAAAGTAGGGCTCTTGTGGCAGAGTGGCAGTGCCCCTACCTCTGGATTAAGAGGCCCAGGTTCAAGTCTCAACTCTCCAGAGGCCTGTGCTAACATCTCTGAACAGGATGATTAGAAAACTATCTAGCCAGACACAAATAGGGCTCTTGTGGTGCAGTGATAATGTCCCTATCTCCCAATCCAGGTTCAAGACCAGTCTGCCCCAGAGGTGTATCATAACCTATCTGAGCAAGTTGGTTAAAATAACTACCTACAGGACATCAAGGAGACTCCCCTGCCCTTCTTTGCAATAGCTTTTCTTAAATCCTGGGATAATGGCATCACTGACAAGGCCAACATTTATTGCTCATCCCTAATTGCTCTTAAACTGAATGATTTGCTCAGCCACATCAGGGGACAGTTTAGAGTCAACCACATTACTGGAGTTACATGTAGGCCAGACTGGGTAAAGATGGCAGATGTCCTTCCCTGAAGGGCATTCGTGACCCACTTGGGTTTTTACAACAATTGATGATAGTATTGTGGTCATCATCACTTTTAGAAACATAGAAACTAGGAGCAGGAGTAGGCCATTCGGCCCTTCGAGCCTGCTCTGCCATTCAATATGATCACGGCCGATCATCCAACTTAATACTCTGTTCCCACTGTCTCCCCATATCCTTTGATCTCTTTAGACCTAAGAACTATGACTCCTTCTTGAAAACATTCAATGTTTTGGCCAAAACAGCTTTCTGTGGCAAAACAAAAATCCACAAACAATTGCACTGATTGAATTTAAAATTCCACTATCTTCTTTTGGGGGCGATTAGAACCCATGGCCCCATAGCCTTTAGTCTGGAATCCCTTGAGTACTAGCCCAGTGACACATCCACTACACCACTATCTGCCTCCCATGGGATTGTTTGGCCTCCTGAAAGAGCAATTAGGATCTCTGTTTATCACCTCATCTCAAAATTTGCACCTCTGACAGTGCAAGTTTCCTTCAGCGCTGCATTAAGAATGGCAACCTGGATTATATTCTGCAGACGACACATGGCCTGGACAGATGGGGTTTTCAAAATAAAGTGAGCTGAATAATAATGAGCTATGGGACAGATGGTTTTCACCTAATTTATAACAAAGCAGCACCAGAATTGCAAAGTTTCTGTACTTTAATTTGACATTGCATTCATGCAACAGTTCATCACATTCCACAAGAGTTTTATAAGCAAGACGTTATGTTTAGCTGCCACTGCTATTATCCACCAGGCAGTTGAAATATGGAGCAAAGATCCACAAACTCAATGAATTCAGCACCCATGGACCAGTCGAACCAGGAACATTCCTTGTCACAATGGACATTTCGGCACTCTACGAAAACGACAGCATCGCCGCAACAGCCTCAGTGCTCAATACCACCAACTGCCAATTCCCAAGTGCATCCTACAGCTCATCCGCTTCATCCTCGACAACCAGTTCATCATCCAGATGCACGGAACAGCCATGGGGACCAGATTTGCTGCCCAATATGCCAACATTTTCATGCACAGGTTCGAACAAGACTTCTTTGCTTCACAGAATCTCCGACCAACGCTATACACCAGATACATTGACAACATTTTCTTCCTTTGGACTCATGGCAAGGAATCACTGAAATAACTACAAAGCAAAATCAACAAGTTTCATCCCACCATCAGACTTACCATGGATTACTCTTTCAAATTGGTCTCATTCTTGGACACGCATCTCCATCAGAGAGAGATACCTCAATACCTCACTCTACCGCAAGCCCACGTTTAACCTCATGATGCTGCACTTCTCTAGCTTCCAATCTAAATGTATTAAAACAGCCATCCCCTACAGACAAGCCCTATGCATATACAAGATCTGTTCAGATGAGGAGGAGCGTGTCTGACACCTGAAAGTGTTGAAGGACACCCTCATAGGAACAGGATCTGATGATAATCGCCAGTTCCAACGTGCCACAGCGAAAAGCTGTAATGACCCTCTCAGAAGGCAGACACAGAATACGTCTGATAGGGTACCCTTCGTCACCCAGTACTTCCCAGGACGGGAGAAACTACACCATTTTTTTTGCAGCCTTCAACACATTATCGATGATGATGAGAACCTCACCAAGATCTTCCCCACACCTCCACTTCTCGCCTTCAAACAACCACCAAACCTTAAACAGCCTTCAGGACAACATCGATCACAACACCACACAACCCTGTCATGGAAACCTCTGTAAGACATGTCAGATCATCGACATGGACACTACACTACCATCACACATGGGAACACCACCCATGACATGCACGGCCTATACTCATGTGACTCAGCCAATGTTGTCTATCTCATACGCTGCAGGCAAGGATGCCCCAAAGCACGGTATATGGGCGAAACAATGCAGACGCTATGACAGCAGATGAATGGACACCGTATAACAATCATCAAACAGTGATGTTGCCTCCTAGTGGGGGAACACTTCAGTGATCAAGGACATTCGGCCTTGGATCTTTGGGTAAATGTCCACCAAGGCGGACTTTGGGATGCACAACAACACAGAGGTGCCAAGCAGAGGCTGATAACGAAGTTCGTTATCCATGAGGACGGCCTCGACCGACATCTTGGGTTCATGTCACAATACAGGTGACCCCACCACACTATACACTCTCATGCACACACGTACGCACACACAATGACACGGACACAGATCCTCTCTCATACACACCATGTCTCTCAAGCACACACACACAAACACACCCCCCCCCCACAGACACACACACGCTCTCTCTTACACACACATTTTCTCTCTCTCTCTCTCCCCCCTCACTCAGACACACTCTCTCCCGCACAGATAAACACACACACATTCTTTCTCTCTCCCACACATACACACACACACACTCTCCCACCCCCGCCACACACACACACTCACTCTCTCTGCCCCCATGACCCACACACACACACATGTAAATCTATGGGGTGAATTTGTATTTGCAGATACATTGTGTTTTGTTCAAAAAGCACAAAATTTATAGACAGTCTGTCAATGTGACGTTTTATAAATTCCCACTTCAGAAATAAAACGTCTAGACTCGAAACCAAAACACAAACAGATTCTAAACAAGGCCTCACACCTAACAGGCGTTGTCTGACCTAAAATGTACCTCTTCTTTACACTGATAAAACCTTTAGTTCTCTCAGAGCAGTGACTTGAAATAAATTCAGGGATTTACATAAACATATTAATCAATTAAAACCTAACTGATTAAAGATTTAACAGCATCTTAGGTTTGTTTAATACATCCTCATCAGTGGTGTGACCCTTTGATTTTCTACTTATAAATTCTGTGTCTGATCCTACTTCTCTCAGTAACACCTGAAGAAGGAGTGAGGCTCCAAAAGTGAGGCAGTTCCCTCTACTTGGATTCAACAGAGCCTCTGTTTAACATCTCACCCAAAGGACTATACATCTATCAGCATTCCCCCAGTACCACACTGGAGGCTCAATGGTTGTGAGGTTTAAAACACATAGCCCTCTGGGTCTATAGAAAAGCACCTTGTCCAACTGAAACTCGGATCTAGTTTAATGTATCCGTGTTAATTCTAATTTTAAACACATTTTAACCCCAGTTCGGGATCTGGGATTCCTGCTGTGTTATAGTAAACTCAATGAGTGACCGAAAGGGGTTAATTAAAGTATGCATATATGACAATGAGGCTGAACCCGATTCTATTTCCAAGACAGTTCTGAAGAAGTCACCGGACTCGAACCATTAACTCTGTTTTTTCACTCTCTCCACAGATGCTGCCAGAATTTACTGGGTTTCTCCAGCTTTCTCGGTGTTTATTTTAAAGTTTCGGCACTTTGCTTTTATCCGGCTCAAAGTCTCTTCTTTGCAGAATTGGATTTAACAAAAGAAAAATCAGTAAATGTTAAAGTAAAATAGGGTGCGAGAATACCTGGTCCCAAGGGAGATGCCGTAAATATCAGGGAGTAATAATTTCGAACATTTAAGTTGTCTGAGTCAGGCAAGGAGGGAACAATGAGCCGGAGCGTCCCCCTGCTGGACAGTCTGACGGGAGCTCACAGCCACTCTTTCTAAACCCACCCGGAGATTAGCGTTTGGAAATTAGTGAGGAATTGATTTGGGTGTAATGGATAACAGCCCACTCCCCCAGGACTGCCTCCTCTCTGCTGAAACATTATGGTTACACACCCCAGTCAGAGATCGGACGTGGGGAACATACATACGACGGAGTTAGCCGGATGCAAGGCACGAATTTCACAGGAGGGCGGAAAACAAAAACGGAATGACTCGAAACGTTAACCCTGCTTTCTCTCTGCGCCCGACCTGCCGAGTTTCTCCAGCACTTTCTATTGTTACTGCGTTAAAAAAAAACTTTTCAGCATTTAGCTTCGTTCAGCTGACGACTTCTTTGTCCTCCCTTCCTGGCTGTCTCTTTCCCTGTGCTCAGTCCACAATTTCCCTCTTTTTTTTAAAAGTTATTTATTGAGTCTTCGGTTTTCTGATTATTTCACTTTATCGTGTCTTTGCTTCCCCAAAAATCCGACAGGTTTAAGGACCGCCCAGGATTGATGTGATTTGCTGATGAACAGTCAACACGAACTTCAGCAGCTCGGTAGACAGAGCGTCGTTCTGGCATCGGAGTGTCAGAGAAGGATCTGATGGAGGGAGCAGCTCCAGGACAGTCTCTATACACAGCCTGCTGCTGCTAACAGCCAGGTGAACGTTCCCAAACAGTGAAAAGCTGCGCAGAATATAGGCTTTGGGACGGGGAGAAGGGGTCAGAAGTTTTAATATTCCTACAAATATGAAGCAAAACTGGGTTCAAACCAACGGTGCACCACCAATCTTCACTCTGTAGAACGGTTCTCAGCAGCGCCCTTCACCCTGAGAGGGGGAATTTCAGCTCACACCTTGGACGGACCTGTAGCCATGGAGCAAGTCTCGAGTCTGCCCACAGGGAACGGCACCAATTTGACAGAAGCGCTGGGCCACGCGTTTCAGTACTCGCTGTCGTCCAGCGACGTGCTCTATAGCGACTACGAACCCCCTCAGAAAGAACTCATCCCTCTGCCCAAAGCTGTGCTCTACCTACTCATGGCGGCCCTGGTGGTGGTGGCAGTGGCTTATGCCATCGTGGGCCATCTCCTTAAAGACCTCGCACACGACTTTGCAGGTGAGTTCAGGTCAGCAACTGTCAGCATTTATCACTGGCTGGGGAGCGAAATGCTTTTTGCTTTGGAATTTGTGGCCTTAAGGTATCAGAGCGCAAGGAGGCAAGGAGATTCGTGTTTTCATTTCATACAGGTGATATGCTAGCATTTATTGCCCGTCCCTGATTCCCCTTGAGAAGGTGAGCTGCCTTGAACTGCTGCAGTCCCTGTGCTGTAGGTTAACCCACAGTGCCCCTAGAGAGGGATTTCCATGATTTTGACCAAGTGACCCTGAAGGAAGTGTGATATATTTCCAGGTCAGGCCAGCAAGTTGGCTTGGAGGGGTCCTTGCAGAGGGTGGGTGTACCCATATATCTGCTGCCCTTATCCTTCTAGATGGAAGTGGTTGTGGGTTTGGAAGGTGTAATCTAAGAATGGTGTCATGCTTCTTAAGTATTACCAGAGCTGCACTCATCCAGACAAGTGGGGAGTATTCCATCACACTCCTGGCTTGTACTTTGTAAATGTGGACAGGCCTTGGAAGTCAGGAGCTGAGATACTCGCCGCAGTATTCCTAGCCTCTGACTTGCTCTTGTAGCCACTGTATTTACATGGCTAGTCCAGTTGAGTTTCTGGTCAATGGTAACCTGCAGGATTTTGATAGTGGGGAATTCAGTGATGGTAATGCTATTGAATGTCAAAGGGTGATAGATTCACTTCTGTTGGAGATGGTCATGCTCAAAATCAACGAGGGAATAGAAGTCCCAGAGTCTGTGTAACTCTTAAATTTCCATCTCTTTTTCTCACAGTTGACAATCTGCCGTTAAGGTTATGAGGTTGCTGCTTTGTCACATCTAGGATTAGATATTACTTAGTCTCAACTAGCTAATCAGATCATAGAATACCAGTGAGACCAAGGAGTCTCCCGGCTGTCATGGCCAACTTTCCTCCTCCAATTGATGGCACCAGAAAAACAGATTAGTGCGTCACTTTTTAAAACCTGCTTGCCTTTGGTAGACCTTCCACTCCCAGGATCTTTATGACTACCTGAGCTAAGGGTAACAGCCACACAGGAACACCAGCTCTTGTAGTTTACCCTCCAACGTACACACTGGCTTGTTTGGAAATTAAATCACCATTTCTTCACCATTGCTGGATCAAACCGTGTAAATCCCTTCTTGGACAGCTCTGTGGGTGTACTGACACCATACACATACTGCAGCGGTTCAAGGTGCTGGTTCACCACCACCTTTCAACAACACTTGGGGAAGGGCAATAAATCCTGGCATTGCCAGCAACACCTAACAGCCCAAGAATGAACAACATCACCATACTGAGTGCCTGCAAAAGATTAACACACTCCAAAAAAAATTCATTATGTTGACTTTTCAGAGAGCTGTAAAGATCCAAGCTATTAACTACTTGCAATCCAATATTTAAAATGCTGATATCGTTTCTCTAATGTAAATCTGCTTTGTAGTGTTATGAGACTAGTCAATTATGGTTACCTGATTTAACTCTGCAGCTCTCAATAGATGCTGGGTTAACAGTTGCATCGTATTAAGATCCAGTAACAGTAACTCCTCGAACCGGGTTGGCTGAGCAAATGTCACTGGGCTAGATTCACCAGTGTGGAAGCAGGTGCTGTCTGAACAGAAAAAATTCTCTGGCCATCAAAAAAAGCACTTGAAAGGAATTAAGACCAGGGCAACACTTTTCCTTCATTGCCTTTCACTCTCAAAGGGTACCTGTTTAAGCAAGATGCACATTTCTTTGTTAGTTGCTATTTTACCAGTAGGAACATGATCAATACAGGAGTACTTCAATATTTTGTTCTGGTGATCTCTCTCCCTCCTCAAAGGTACAACTGCCATACAGGCATAGTTGTACGTGGGCTAGCCTCATGCCAATGCCCAGCCTTTGAATAACTGGCAGGCTACTTGACCAAGGGAACCATCACAGTTGATGCTACTCCTTTGCTGTGCTGACCAAAGATGATCCATATCCTTCAGCCCCAGGAAGTTGTTTCCAGTAGTAACATACCTCTCAGTAACTAGGCAATGACCCGTTATTTTAATAGATATTGAACCAGGTGACCCTTGTGTGGCATATCACATGGTGTGGCCACTGATACATCCATTTCTACACTATGTTAGGTTAGGTCAGGTCACCTTAAAGACTACAACATCCAACTTATAATTAGGTATAAACCGAAAGAACTGTGGATGCTGTAAATCAGGAACAGGAACAAAAACAAAAACAAAGTTGCTGGAAAAGCTCAGCAGGTCTGGCAGCATCTGTGAAGGAAAAAACAGAGTTAACGTTTCAGGTCCGGGTTCTGAGGAAGGGTCACCGGACCCGAAACATTCACTGTTTTTTCCTTCACAGAAGCTGCCAGACCTGCTGAGCTTTTGCAGCAACTTTGTTTTTGTTCTAATTAGGTATGTTATGATCATATGTGGAGACCAATAGGTCTTGTCTCAGAGCAATACTTTGAGACTTCAGCCTCGGTTGTAGTCACAAAACTTAGCACTGCCTAGGAACTAAACTTGGATAACTCCCAGTCACTGTCTTGTAATACACTGGGAGGGGGTTAATACCTTAAACCGTGTGATCTGCTGAAATGAATTATTCAGTTGCACCCTGATAAATCAATGCGATTAACAGTTGAACAGCATGCTACCAATGAGGTAGCTGACCTTTACTTAAGCCACACGCATTTGGATTAAAAGCTTCCCAGACCTCAGCAAGTCTTGTTTAATAGCAGCAATGGTTTTAATCACCTCACTTGTGGCTGTCTTATTCAGTATTATGTGTGATCAAAAAATGATGCTTGATCTGAGAAATGTATTGTTGTTACACCATGGAGAGTGGAGAGTGACTGCACACCTGTATAAACACCTCTTCCACCCCTCCACCGCCACCCCCCCAACCTTGCTAGTCACTCAGCATTTCTTAGAACAAGGAGAATTTTGACTCCATTTACATCAATCCAATGTTATGGTCTTAAAAAAGGCAATCCAATTTACGGACAGTTCAAATAAGCAGCAGAATACTACATCTGTGCATCATCCAGTTCAACCTCTCCAGCTGATGGATTGCAGCAAAAAACTGAAATTGCTGGACACTCAGCAGGTCTGGCAGCATCTATGGAGGGAAAGCAGAGTTAATATGTTGAGCCCAGTGACCCTTCTTCAGGACTGATAGTAGCTAGGAAAAGGTGGTGGACCTGCGGAAGACAGGGGTGAGGAGAGGATAGGGGGAGATGGATCCCAAAGAAAGAGAAACCGAGAGTTAGAGCGACAGAATGTGGGAGAGGTGGAGGGCTGGGGGCTGCGAGAGAATAAAAACCGAAAGAACAGCGGATTCTGTAAATCAGAAACAAACACAGAAGCTGCTGGAAAAGCTCAGCAGGTCTGACACCTCATTTTCCGCTTCGGGACCCTGCAGCCCTCCAGACTCAATATCAAGTTCAATAATTTTAGGGCCTAAACTCTCCAATGTCCCAGCCCTCAACACCACACCTTGTTATCACAGCCTGCCATTACAATACCTGTTGTCAGTCACTAATAGTCCCCATTAACAACTATTCACTCTCCCAGCCTGATTGTTACCAACTCCTTTTTCTGTCCAACTGTCTTCCTCTCTCTTAAGGCTCTATCCTATTGTTTACTCCCTCCCCCACCTACCTCCCTATTTTCTGCATATAAGCTGATATTTTCCCAGCCACCATCAGTTCTGAGGAAGGGTCACTGAACACCATTTTTACCTTCACTGATGCTGCCAGACCTGCTGAGCTTTTCCAGCAACTTCTGTTTTATTGTTTGAGAGAGAAGGACAGTTAGGTGGACAAGATGATGATGAATAGTTAATAGGGAAGGAAAAAAGCTGACAATGGGGACCATGAGTAGGTGAGATTGGATTGACTGTGCTGAAAGCGGCCCATGTCATTGCTGGGTGTGGAAGTGGGTACAGGGCATGGAACGAGGTGTTTAGGCTGTAAAAGTATTAAACTGAATATTGAATCCTGAGGGCTGCAGGGTCCCCAGGTGAAAAATGAGATATTGTTCTTCCAGCACAGTGCAACATTCAAGCAATGCGACAGACGATCAGCTATACTCAATTATTTGTTGAGAATAACCCTCAGTCCCACTGGCCACAGAGCTGTAAAGCAGTTTCATACTTTAAATAAAATGCTGTGGATGTGGGGATAAAACAGAAGGGCTGGAGCAACTCAGCAACATTTGTGGAGACAGAAACGAGAGTTAATGTTTCAAGTCGAAAAGGGCTTTTCTCCAAAACTCCAAAATGTGAACTAGGTTGTTGTCTCCACTATTTGCTGCAAACTTGCTGTGTTTTTACAGCACCTTGTTTTCAAATTATTAAATAATGCATTTTAATTTGAACTGCCTGTCCAGCTATGTTGTGGAAAAAGTACAGTAAAATAGTGTATAAAACTGAATCTTTGGGATTGAAAAGCAGCAGTTTGTTGTCATTAATATGACCAGAAACGTAATCATCCAATGTCCAGTCTCATCCTGGGCAATCTGTATTGAAGGTCTCGGCAAATTGGGAACTGGTTAATGTGATAAATGCTGTACTGATTGCTTGTCATTGGTTGCCCTGATGGAACCTCTTGGAACTATTTAGCAGAGATTCTCTAAAATGGTTAAAAAGATGTTAATGGGAGGCAATGGTGTACTGGTATTATCACTAGATTGTTAATCCAAGTATTTTTCTGGGGATCCAGGTTCAAAACACACAGTTATACAATATTAATATCCAGTAACACTAACCCCTCAAATCAGATGTGTTTGTGTTAAGGAAATAGAAAAACTGGATTATTCTTGAGGCAGTTCCTGGAGAGGAAGATGAAGGGTGACCTTGTAGAGGAAAAAAATCATGAGGGGCTTGGATAGGGTGAACAGCCAAGGTCTTTTCCATAGGGTAGGAGAGTTCAAAACTAAAGGGCATAGATTTAACGTGAGAAGGGAAAGATTTAAAAGGGGCCTAAGGGGCAACTTTTTCTATGCAGAGGGTGGTGCATGTATGGAATGAACTGCCAGAGGAAGTGGTGGAGGCTGGTACAATTACAACATTTAAAAGGCTTCTGGATGGGTATATGAATAGGAAAGGTTTGGAAGGATATGGGCCAAATGCTGGCAAATGGGACCAGATTAATGTAGAATATCTGATTGCCATGGACAAGGATCTGTTTCTGTGCTGTACATCTCTACGACTCCATGATAGTTAAGTGATTTTAAAAAAAGACAGGAAGTGGCAGGAGAGCAAACAGATTTAAGATGACTGGCAAAGAAACTGAGGTGGAGGAAGAGTTGTTATTTTCTTCCAAAATAAGTTAAGATCAGGAATGCATTGCCCAAATAAGATGGCAGAATTAGGTTCAATTGTAACTTTCAGAAAGGGAATGTTCACATAAGGTGGGGTGGGGGCGGCAATGTCACAGGGCTATTGGAAACCAGACTTAAGAATTGATGGACAGGCTGAGATTTTGTAACAATCTGGCTGCATTTCCCGATTATATTCTCTGGTGCTAGCCTGTTAAGAACCGCATTTACTGAATTCAGCAAATTGCCATGTGGGTTTTGAATAAATATCACTTCAAAATCATCATTATGACGACTATATCCTATGAGGAGCCAGATTAACACCCACTATCCCAAACTATGTATGATCAAGAAAATTGTAACATCAGGCAACTAAAAACCAAATCTCTATAATACTTTTTGTTTGCCGGAATCCACCTGACCACAGAAAGCAGTTATTGTACTCTCACTATAAAAGTCTGGAAGTTAGAACTAGACCCTGATTTGATTACATCAGTAATGGTGACCACAGCAGCAACTCATTTGTTGCAAAAACCCTTCTGGTTCACAAACATCGATTAGGGAAGGAAATCTGCTGTCCTTACCCAGTCTGGTCTAAATGCAACTCCCAATACATGGCAAAATTGCTGACTCCTAACTCCTCTCAGAAATGGCCAAGCAAGGCACTCATATGTAGCAATTAAGGATGAGCAACAGATGCTGGCTCTGGCAGCGATATCCTCATCCCACTCAAGAACAAAGACTACAAAGTTTAAGGAGGGTATAGTAACTGTAACTTCCCCATCCCATGCTAGCTGCTGATCCCTTTTCCAAGTTATTTCACTTAGCAATCCTGAAACAAAATTGCCCGCTCCATAATAAGTGACAAACTTTAATTACAATTCATTGTCACTACAGCTCCTTGGGATCTATAAATTCAGAATTTCTAAAATAAAAAATACTCAGGTCTGGTCAGCTGTGTCTCATTTTCTCCAGCTCTGTGCTCAGTACCCATGTTACACAGACTTAGTTGGTTACAGGTATGGCTTTGTAAGGTCATGGAGCTAAAGTCTGTTCCAGCATAGAATCCAGGCTAACGCTGTGGTGCAGTATGGAATCGGATGAGTTGTTAAGCCAACCTTCATGGGACAGCTCAAGTAAGTAATGGGTCCATCCTATTTCCTGTCCACTATTTATGTGTCAACCAGCATAACCACATCTGCTAATTTCTCATTGCATTTTGCATAAATTATGCTTGATGCAAATTGGTTACTTAATTTTCTTAACCATAACAATTTAGCGTAAAATCAGGTGGAGTGCTTTGGGTTATTTTGTGAATGCTAAGGCTGCTAGTGAAATACAAGTTTACCTTCCATTCTTGAACAACCTTTCAAATCACTGGGAAATGAGCCTTAGAAGAGATATTTTCAGTCTTGCATGTTATGCTATGTGGAACATAGATCTTAAGAGTGGTGAAACAGATTAAATAACTTATAAAATGGGATTTGAATAAATATTTGAAGTGGGGAGTGTAGGGATGTGGAGAAAGGGCGGGAGAAATAGGACAAATTTGTGGCTCTCCAGTGGGTAGTGTGACCTCCATGCTGTATCATTCTATAACACTAGGTAGAAATTAGTCACTTAAAATTTTCTTTTCACATGGTGTTTCCCAACAGATTGCATATTTGGTCCGAGGCAGCATGACACAGAGACTGGCAATGACCTGAAGTGCATCACTCGTGAAACACTGTTGTACCCACTCCAGAATCAGGAGGCAATCCAAATCCCAGAAGAAAACCAAACACTGCATTTACCACAAGAGACATGACTTCACAACTAGGAACCGAGGGATGGATTAACCAAAGTGGACTCGAACGGCAAAATCCTCATCCCATCATGAGCACCAACTGAATTCAGTCTAATGGCATCAGCTGCCATCACCACTCAGTTAGTTTCTTGTAAACTGAATGTTGACAAATTAACTTGCGACTTTCTGAAACCTTAATGTATTTCCTGATGTAGCAGAAGTAACTGTACAATACATACGTATAAATAACAAAAACACCTGGCCAGTGCATTTATGAATAGAATGGGAAGTTGTCAAGGGAAAGCTGTGCATTTATATACCACCTTTTAACATAGGGCAAAATATCCCACGTTACTTCATCGGAGGGAACATCAGATGAATTTAACCCTCAAACCTCACATTTTGCAATTTTAACTCTGCCAGATGAGAATCCAATTGTTTTTTGAATGCCCCTAGAGGCTAGGTCACAATTCCCTCCTGATCAGACTATTCCAGATATTTGTACAAAAGCATTTTTTCTGCATTTTTCTCTAGCTTATCCTCAAAACCATTTCTTCCAATCTTCTTCCTTGTATCAATGAAATATTTGGAATTTATCTTCAGAGTATTTTATATATTTTGCTTAATTTGCTTGCTGTCTCGGCTGCAATTAGCATCAATCCTTCCTCTCAGCTAATCTCTCCTCGTATTTGGAATAATTTCCTGTTGTATCTACCCCGAAGGCTTGCACACCTATGAAATTCTGTTACTTCAAGCAAATGTTCTAGGCTTTGGGCTCCTTTCAGCAGTTTCCACTCATATGACTGCAGCATCTCAGCAGCACTTAACCGAGGGCCATGCCGGCAGCACTCGGCAATGAACGAGTAAAAGTGATGACATGTCATAGCGTCAAAAGGGTCCTACGCTGGTAAAGTGAAACTGCACTGAAAAATTATCAATTGTTAACTTGAATGAGTGATTTAGTATGGTGCAACATCCTATGAGTCCCTGGGCTTGTTTGGCACTGTGACAGCATCCCCTATCTGAGCCAGAAGGTCCAGGTTCAAGTCCTACCTGAGCTGCAGGTGTTTCACAACATAACCAAACAAGCCAATTAAAATAACTCTTACAAATCCATTCTTACCATGTGCTGCTCTTCCCAGCCGTTGCAATTGTTTATGGAAATGTTGGCAATATCTTCCAGAGTGCACTTGTTCCTATTCCCAGCTTTATTAAACATTCTTTGTCTGCAAGACCTGCACTGGCTATCAGCCTGAATAGATTCAATATTTTATAAAGAAACTTTAGGTGGGTGTCTGGTTACTCAGAGGTGTAAAATTTGTTAGTTTTTGATTTCAATGTTATTCTGATTGCAATGATACCTCTTGCAATAATACCCTCTTATCCCAGTTGGAATTGTCTTATTGATAAGCCTGGGATAGCAGTGATAATCTGTTACAATCTCTCAAGTGACTAACAGCCAAGAGTCAACCAATCTGGACATATTCCAATCACTCAACATAAAGACTGAACTTTCACTGAAAATAAAACTAAAGCAGATCTTGGGGTTAATTGACCAAGAAGTGAAACACCATAGAATACACTTTAGTTTTGCTCCATTTATTGCTTTGGATTACAGTTCCCATTTAAATTTCTGATACAAGGTGGCTGTTATAAACATACTGCCCAGGAATCAAGACATTGATAATGAGGTATATGCTACAGTGACAGCCTTTCAGAAGGCGTCACTGTATAAAACAAAGGAAGGAAATGGGCCATGACCACAATTAATTATAAAAAAAAAGAGGATTGCACAATGACTAAAACCACTGCTTCCTTCTAGCTGGTTTCATGATGTCATACTATGCTCTGTATAGTGCTAATTAGATAAGGTTCCAGTGTACCTAGCCAATAAGAACAATTTGGGTAACAGTCCAAACATTAAAAAATTAAACTTTTTATTTCAACTGACTTGCAGTTCAATTCCACCTTCCACCTCTATTTCAATTTGATGTCTCTCATGTTTCCGCAATAACCAAAGTTCACGTGTCAACTCCATGCGACGTTTTAAAGGACCAACTTAAAAATAAGTGGAACATGAACGCTGTGATTTTAGACAAGGCAGTGAAATGGCAAGGCCAAGTGATAGTAAGCCATTTCCCAGGGCCAGGAAGCCCAAAATTTTACTCTGCCTCTCCCCTAATCTCCCAAACATGAATATAGTGAAACCTTTTCTCAGGCTAAAGACGTGTAGAGCACACACTTCAGAAAGAGTCAGTTTGTGCCGAATGCTAGGGATCCAGGCGGCATACTGGGCTATCGTACACCATCTGCAGGTTCACCTTATGTCCCACCAGCTCGCGGATGTTGTTGATGCCATACTTGATCATGGTTGGCCTGGAAAGCAATAATGAAAAACAATAGCAAAATTTAAACTCAGATCTTGGATATTCTATGATAACAAGGTGCAGAGCTGGATGAACACAGCAGGCCAAGCAGCATCAGAGGAGCAGGAAAGCTGATGTTTCGGGCCTAGACCCTTCACTTTTTGTGTTGGATTGAGATCGAGATGAAGGCAAAAGTCATCGGGAAGGTAATACACTGGAATTTTTATAAAGCACAACCCAAGATAGAGTCATAGAGCTGTACAGCATGGAAACAGACCATTCAGTCCAACTTGTCCATGCTGACCAGATATCCTAAATTAATCTAGTCCCATTTGCCAGCATTTGCCCCATATCCCGCTAAACCCTTCCTATTGATATATCCATCTATTTGTCTTATAATTGTTGTAATTGTACCAGCCTCCACCAGTTCCTCTGGCAGCTCGTTTCACACACGCAATATCCTCTGTGTGAAAAAGTTGCCCCTCAGGTCCCTTTTAAATCTTTCCCCTCTCACCTTAAACCTATGCCCTCTAGTTTTGGACACCCCTACTCTGGGGAAAAGACCTTGCTATTCACCCCATCCATGCCCCTCATGATTTTATAAACCTCTGTAAGGTCACCCCTCAACCTCCGATGCTCCAGGGAAAATAGCCCCAGCCTATTCAGCCTTTTCCTATAAGCTCAAACCTTCTAACCCCAGCTACATCCTTGTAAATCTCTTCTGCACAGTTTCAAGTTTAACAACATCTTTCCTACAGCAGGGAGTCGAGAACTGAATGCAGTATTCCAATAGTGGCCTAAACAATGTCCTGTACAGCCGCAAAATGACATCCTAACTCCTTACTGACCAATAAAAGCAGGTGTACCAAATACCTTGACTACACGTAGCCTAGAATGTCAACTACGGATCAATGGACATTTAACAAACAGCATGCTTGCATTAGAACCTATCAAACAAAAAGACATACTCGTCATGTTTATGAAAACTAGGTTCTGGAATAGGAAGCATGGCGTTGATAAAGAAAATTTGTATTGGTTTAGTGCCACTGAACATTTTTGTGCAAGTGTTGCACTGTGCGAGAAGGTCTCTAGATACATATAGAATCTTAGAGTGCAGTAAACATGGAAACATTTCTACACTCAGGAGAACTGAATCTTTGGGATTTTCTATTCTAGATGGTTGTGAATGCTCTGTGTTAAGTATAGATAAAGCTGGGACAAATGCATTTTTAGTCTCTCAGAGAATCAAAGGATGTAAGGTAGAAAGGGGAAATAAAGAAGGTCAGCAATGATCATTATGAAAAGGTATAGCAAGCACCAGTATGGTCTTAACCTGCTCCGTCAAATTAGGAGGCCTTTCAGCCCATTGCCTACGCACCAGCTCTTTGAAACACCACTCCAATTGTTTTCACTACCAAAAGTATGCATAATATCCAATGACCTTTAGAAAGGTTACTGCTTCAATCACCTATTCATTCAAAACAAAACAACGTTGTGCATTAAACAACAAATACATTTTCATCTTCCCTTTGACTTTTTTGCCAATTACGTCTACAGGTGTGGAAATTAATTTAACTCAGACCAGGGATCGCGCTCAACAGCTGACCGGATCCATCAATGTATTAGTTGGTCATATGTATGTGGGCTAAACATGCAGTGCCATGGAATTAGGAAGAAACAAAAATAGAAACATTCCAAGTGATATAATGGATTGGGCTCTGAGAAAATGTCATGAACCTTCCTAACCAGCCAGGTGATAGCATAAGGAACAAAAACACCAGAAGAGATGGGATAAAACACAATAAACAAAATAGAATTTTATATTAGAATACTTTGCTAACAACTTTGCACATTTTGTTTCCAGTGGAAGGAGGGAGAAAGTTCAGACCACACTGGCAACTATTAAAATGAATTAAGGACAAAATGCTTTAAATTCACTGTCCAATAAATCCTCCTGATCAGGCAATGATTGATTCTGGCCCATATCTGAAGAAGTCAGCACCTATAAAGTTACAGGACAAAACTGCGGTTTCTTGCCCTGTAGAAAACACTATCAGGTGAATGTGTTGGTGCTATTTATAAACTGAACAGAAGAGGATCTGACATAATGTATACGAAATTGAGTAAAGGACGTTCTTTAGATTTAGACTGTATGCTCAGTGACCACTAAAAGTTAATGCAAGTAATCCCCAAGCTCCTTCTAACCCTTGGTCAGTTTCTAACATTCATACCCTTGGCGCCAGCTTAATACAGGAACTGGTAATCAGTTAAAGCCAGATGGACATTAAATGCATCTTACTGAAGAAAGGGAATAGCAGGGATACAAGGGACCCACTAAATAAAATTCCCATGACTGTTACTTAAGATGCCTTGCTTTGGTCCTTGACTGGAAGTCATTGCTCCAATAGGAAACATTTCGCCCTAAAACAGAGTTATGCTACAGCATCAAGTTTCAACTGTTGTGGAACCATTGTCAAGATTTATTTGCTTTTGCCTGTAGTCACCTCTGTTTCTGGAACAAAAAATCCCCCAACTGAAGTCTTTAGTACACAATACACCACCAAGCAGCTAACATACTAACAAAGCCAAGGTGATGCAGAAACAGGTTGGGGAGCACATGCAGACTTGCTATCCATTAAGTTTCCCCTACTGCTATAACGGCACTTGACAGCTCCTTATTACTACTTTATATGGACGCTTTCAATGTAGGAACGTTGGTGCTGCTGCCTTTCAAACAGTCAATCCAGCAGTCTATCCTTTCGGATGGATGCACAAAGGGTGCTACTCAAAATAGGGATATCTGCCTAGTGGCCTGGCCAATATTAAGCCCTCAACTAACACCACTAAACAGATTATGTGCTTCTTGTCATATTGCTGCCAGTGGGAGCTTGCTGTGTACGAATTGGTTGCTGTGCTTTCTACAGCTCAAAACTGCCAACAAAAGGTACCGCTGAAAAGAGACGCATTGCTGATGCTTCTTGTGTTTGACACACTGGGACTAATGCGAGAATGCCAAATCTCAAACCATCACAAGAATTTATACAACAGGAGAAAAGTTTCCATCACTATCTCCATGGCAACATCATGGCCAGTGTCTACTTACAAACGAATCAACACCCTTTTATTCTGTCATAAACTGTTGCGATGGCTTGTGTTGGAGTTGCCCATGGCTGAAGAGAATTGTTAACTGAGAGCGGTTTTCACTGTCAGAATCATGGCCACCAAATAAGATAATGAAGTGCCTCAAAGAAATCTTAGTGAGAGAGAGAAAACTTGTTACTTAGTAAAGTGTAGAATGGAAAGTCAGATCCCACCACAATCAAAGGCTTTATAAGTAATTGCTATTACATATATGTAGGTATACTGAAATTATACGTGCAACTAACAAATTAATGTTACGGAATTTAACTGAATTCATTTAGAACAAATGGCTATAGATAGAAGGGAGAAGCCCCCATCCGTCAGCAGCGGGGGGGGGGGTGTGGTTGTGGAATTGAAGAACGAATGGTGTACATACCAAGGACCTATTGACAAACGGTGTAACAGTTAACCTTGCGAAAGGACACTGGAAACAAACAACATTTTAAGGGGGCAGTTGCAAAATTTTACTTAGTTATTATGACCTCGGGAAAATAAATCATTACAGGTAACAAACAGCATCTACTCAGTATGATGCAGCTGGCAACTGTCTGGGGAACGGCATAACTGTCAGAGGAGAGGTGGCAAGTGTGGATGTCAATGCTGCATTGTAATTATCGTAACGTGGAATGTATAAATATCCTGTACTTTATTGGGAAAGGTAGTGTCCTAGAGACCTCTCCCAAGCTGCGTTAGTAAGGAGCGCTGAATAAAGATTGATTTGTACTACTGAACACAGGA